CCACCCACCCACCCACCCACCCATCCATCCATCCATCCATCCATCCGTCCACCTCCTGACCTGGACACGTGTTCCTGATGCTCTCCTCGATGGGCTCCTCCAGCCCGGCGCTGGACACGCGGCAGGTGACCTCCACGCCCTGCTCCCAGCTCCGCCGGCCAATGGAGACACGGCTCCACTGGAGGCTCCGCCCGTCGGAGCAGCGGCCGCAGAAGGCCTCGTCCTGGGCCTCCAGCGGCTCCCTGTTCTGCAGCCACTGCACCTGGGCCTGCTCGGCCAGGCCCTCGGTCACGCACACCAGCTGCACCTCCTCGCTGTCCTCACCGTCGTCGTGGACCAGGATGGTCACCATGGTGGGCACGGGGCACACGTCTAGGGGAGAGCAAGGAAAGGGCTGGGCTCATCAACCGGGACCTCCAGGAGTCAACCGGGACCTCCAAGGGCCAACCAGGACCTCCAGGGGCCAACCAGGGCCTCCTGCGATGGAGGAGAGGAGGCCAGGAGCAGCCCCAGGACCTCTAGGGACCAACCAGGACCTCCAAGAGTCAACCAGGACCTCCTGCAATGCAGGAGAGGAGGCCAAGAACAACCCCAGAACCTCGAGGAGTCAACCAGGACCTCCAGGAGCCACCCCAGGATCTCCAAGAGTCAACCAGGACCTCCTGCAATGGAGGAGAGGAGGCCAAGAACAATCTTAGGACCTCCAAGGGCCAACCAGGACCTCCAGGAGCAGCCCCAAGACCTCCAGGAGCCAACCCAGACCTCCTGCAATGGAGGACAGGAGGCCAAGAGCAACCCCAGGACCTCTAGGGGCCAACCAGGACCTCCAGGAGTCAACAAGGACCTCCAGGAGTCAGCCTAGACCTCCTGCAATGGAGGAAAGGAGGTCAAAAACAATCCTAGGACCTCCAAGAGTCAACCAGGACCTCCTGCAGTGGAGGAGAGGAGGCCAGGAGCAGCCCCAGGACATCCAGGAGTCAACCAGGACCTCCACAAGTCAACCAGGACCTCCTGCCATGGAGGCCAGGAGGCCAAGAGCCACCCCAGGACCTCTAGGGGCCAACCAGGACCTCCAGGAGTCAACCAGGACCTTCAGGAGTCAACCAGGACCTCCAGGAGCAGCCCCAGGACCTCCAGGAGCCATCCTAGGACCTCCAGGACCCAACCAGGACCTCCAGGGGCCAACCAGGACCTCCTGCAATGGAGGCCAGGAGGCCAAGAGCAACCCCAGGACCTCTAGGGGCCAACCAGGACCTCCAGGAGTCAACAAGGACCTTCAGGAGCCAACCAGGACCTCCAGGAGCAGCCCCAGGACCTCCAGGAGCCGCCCAAGCCCAGGCCCAAGCCCAGGAGCCACGCGGACCCCGCTGTGGCCGCCCCGCCGCTCTCACCGTTGAAGCTCTTGGTGACGCTGGTGTCGGTGGCCGGGTGGCGCACGGTGCAGGCCACGCCGCCCGCCTGGCCGTTGGCCGCCGTGGTGGTCAGGCTGCTCACCAGCTGGTAGAAGGTGTCGGGCGCCCAGGCCGCGGGGAAGGTGGCCACCGCGGAGGGCGGCGCGGAGGCCCACGTCACCTCGAGCGGCTCCGGGAAGAAGCCGGCGGCGGAGCAGGCCACGGTGACGTTGTCCCCGGCGCAGGAGCAGGGCGTCAGCGGGTAGACGGCGGGCGCGTGGGCCGAGACTGCGGGGACAGGGGCGAGGGGACAACCGGGGACGTTAGGAGGACACCATGGGGGCCATCGGGAGAAGATCTTGGGGCGGGAACGTGGGGAGAACCGGTGACATTGGGGGGACACCATGGGGACCATTGGGAGAAGATCCTGGGGTGGGAACATGGGGAGAACCAGTGATGTTGGAGGGACACTATGGGGACCACCAGAAGATCCTGGGGCAGGAATATGGGGAGAACTGGTGACGTTAGGAGGACACCATGGGGACCACTGGGAGAAGATCCTGGGGCGGGAACATGGGGAGAACCGGTGACATCAGGAGGACACCATGGGGGCCATTGACCTCAAGGGGACCCAATGGGGACCATTGACCTTGGAGGGACACCATGGGGGCCATTGGGAGAAGATCCTGGGGTGGGAACGTGGGGAGAACTGGTGACATTGGGGGGACACCATGGGGGCCATTGGGAGAAGATCTTGGGGTGGGAACGTGGGGAGAACTGGTGACGTTGGGGGGACACCATGGGGACCATTGGGAGAAGATCCTAGGGTGGGAACATGGGGAGAACCGGTGACATTAGGAGGACACAACGGGGTCCACCAGGAGAAGAACCTGGGGTGGGAACATGGGGAGAACCGGTGACATTTGGGGGACCCAATGGGGACCATTGACCTCGGGGGGACACCATGGGGGCCACCAGGAGAAGACCCCGGGGCGGCCATTTTGAGGAAGGTCGGGAGAAGACAGGGCGGCCATTTTGAAGAAGACCAGGAGAAGATCCTGGGGCAGGAACATGGGGAGAACCGGTGACGTTAGGAGGACACCATGGGGACCATTGACCTCAAGGGGACCCAATGGGGACCATTGACCTCAGGGGGCCACCAGGGTGGGGCCACCAGGAGAAGACCCCGGGGCGGCCATTTTGAGGAAGCCCGTGGGAAGACGGGGCGGCCATTTTGTGCCGCCACAAAAAAAAGGGGACGTGAAAGCCCCGGGGCCCCCCGCAATGGGGAAGTTGGGCCCGGGCGGGAGCTTTTCCCCCGAGACGCCGGTTCTGGCCCCAAAACGGCCGCCGGCGCCGGCCCGGGCGCCTCGGACCAGGTGGGCCCCCAAAAAGCGGCTTTTCTGGGGCGGGTTTTGGGGGGAAAAGGAGGGGTTTGGGCGCCCTGAGCTCGGCTCAAGAGGGGGCTTTGCCAGGGCGGTTTGGGGGGGAATGCGGCAAGCCGGGCTTAGGCGGGGGGCGGCGCGGGGGCGACTTGGGAGCGAGCGCGGCGAGCGCCCATCAAATACCATGGTAAGCCCGGCTTAAGAGCGAGCGTGGCGAGCAGGGCTTAAGAACAAGCACCTATTGGAAAGGGCTTGGTAAGTCCAGCTTAAGAGCGAGTGTGGCGAGCAGGGCTTAAGAACAAGCACCTATTGGAAAGGGCTTGGTAAGTCCGGCTTAAGAGCAAGCGTGGCGAGCAGGGCTTAAGAACAAGCACCTATTGGAAAGGGCTTGGTAAGTCCAGCTTAAGAGCAAGCGTGGTGAGCAGGGCTTAAGAATGAGCATTGTGAGCAGGGCTTAGGAACGAGCATCGCGAGCAGGGCTTAAGAGCAAGCGTCATGAGCAAGGCTTAAGAATGAGCGCCTGTCGGAAAGGGCTTGGTAAGTCCGGCTTAAAAACGAGCCTCGCGAGCAGGGCTTAGGAACGAGCGTCGCGAGCAGGGCTCAAGAAGGAGCCTTGTGAGCAGGGCTTAAGAAGGAGCGCCTATCGGAAAGGGTTTCACAAGCCCGGCTTAAGAGCGAGCGCCTATCGGAAAGGGCTTGTCAAGCCCAGCTTAAAAACGAGAGTCACGAGCAGGGCTTAAAAATAAACATCACGAGCTGGGCTTAGGAACGAGCGCCTATCGGAAAGGGCTTGGCAAGCCAGGCTTAAAAACGAGCCTTGCGAGCAGGGCTTAAAAACAAGTGCCACGAGCAGGGCCTAAGAACCAGCGTCGTGAGCAGGGCTTAAGAACAACCTATTGGAAAGGGCTTCGCAAGCCTGGCTTAAGAAGGAGCCTCGCAAGCAGGGCTTAAGAACAAGCATCACGAGCAGGGCTTAGGAACAAGCGTCRCGAGCAGGGCTTAAAAACGAGCCTAGTGAGCAGGGCTTAGGAACGAGCGCCTATCGGAAAGGGCTTGGCAAGCCCGGCTTGAGAACCGGGCTTGAGCAGGGCTTGAAAACCGCCATCGTGAGCGGGGCTTAAGAACAGGCACCTATTGGAAAGGGCTTGGCAAGCCCAGTTTAAAGACGAGCGTCACAAGCCCAGCTTAGAAACGAGCCTTGCAAGCAGGGCCCAAGAACCAGCATCGTGAGCGGGGCTTAAGAACGAGCATCACGAGCAGGGTTTAAAAATGAGTGTCACAAGCAGGGCTTAAGAAGGAGCGCCTATMGGAAAGGGCTTTGTAAGCCTGGCTTAAGAAGGAGCGTCGTGAGCAGGGCTTAAGAATGAGCATCACGAGCAGGGCTTAAGAATGAGCGTCATGAGTCTGGCTCAGAAAAGGGCTTGGTAAGCCCGGCTCAAAATGGCGCGTCGCGAGCTCAGCTTAAGAGCGAGCGTTGCCAGCAGAGCTCAAAGCCGAGCTTTGCGAGCACGACAGGAAGGGAAGGACTGGGAGCGCCGCTTAAAAACGAGCTTCGTAAGCGCGGCTTAAAACGAGCTTCGTAACCGCGGCTTAAAAAGGAGCTTTGCAGGCCCGGCTCCACTGCAAGCTCGGCTCAAATCCAGCATTAGGAGCCCGGCTCCTAAATCCAGCATTAGGAGCCCGGCTCAAGGAAGGGCTTTGCAAGCAGGACGGGAAAAGGGCTTTGTAAGCTCAGCTCAAGGACAAGCTGGGCTCAGAAAAGGGCTTTGCAAAGGTGGCAGGAAGCCGAGCTTTGCAAGGCCGGC